ACAACAACAACAGCTTCAACTGGCGGGCGGGTCTTCTGCGCGCACACACAAAACCCAACAAAACTTTACGAGCTTTTTATTATTTTTTTCTTCTGCTTCTTCTTTCGTTATGTTTTTCTTTTTGTTTTTGCTTTTCGCTTTGAGCCAATTATGTGCAGCAGCTGCCGTTAAGGGAGGGCGCGCGAGGGCAGCGAGAAGTGCTAAAGCTCTCCTAAACGTTGTCGTTGTCGTAGCTGATGTGTTTGTTGTTGTTGCTGGAGCTGTGTTGTTGCCGGCCATTGCTGTTGCTCCCGCTCGTGCGGCTATTTCTCTCAATTGTGTTTTCTATTTTGCGCATAAATTTATCAAATTCCTCTTGTTTATTTGCATGCGCTGTCATTATTGTTGTTGTTATTGGGCATTTAGTAAAAGGCTTTAAACCATAAACTAAACGTTTTTAAAAAGTGCTAGTATTGTTGCTATTGTTGTTGTTGTTTGTCTGGCTAATTATAATGAACATATCAATTTGAATGGCATCGCTTGTTTATGGGCATTGCGAGTCTCGTTTATGTTAATTTAAATGCACTGCTCGCTACATATTTAAATATTTCAGGAAATCTATAACTACGCGTAGTTGAACATGATTTATATTGACTCGACCCCGATCTTGAGAATTTTTAGCAAATAGAAAGGTTGAGAAATTGGCAACTTGGGATGGAAGTCGCTCTGACTGAAATTATTACAAACTCATAAAACTCATTTGAGATCTATTGGCAGTAGAAACATAAATATGAACAAATGAGCCGCATTAAAACACTTTAGAGAAATTTAGGAACAACTTAGGAAAATAAAAAAAATTGGTATAATAATGAATATCAAATAAAATAGACCTTTGAAAATTTTACAACCTTTTGGACATTAAAATAAAAAAATGTAGTCTGAAAATTATTTAAAAGATAAGTTAAAATAAGATAAGATCAAAATAAAAATAAATTTAAGTTTTTTGTAATTTTATTAAAATATGCACATTAAAAAAATTAAACAAAAAAAATTTAAATTAAAATAACTTTTTAATAAATGCTTATTTATAAAGTTTTCTACTTACATATAGACAAACAAAAATAAATACTTAAATAAATGAAAATAATAAAATATTCAAGTGGAAAAATATAAGTAAAAATAAACAATATTTGTATATATTATTTATACAAAGATTTGTATTTTTAACTTCTGAAAATCATCTATGGATTTTCTCTTCCTTCTTCTTTCGTCTCATGTTTTTACTTGAAGAAGTTTTTAGCATGCTTATTATATAATAATCTAGGAAGATCTAGGAATAGCTATACATACAATGAGTTAGCAGACCAAACAGATATGCAGTAAATACAATTTTTAGTTTCAATTTTAGCACTAACTGAATGGGCAACACGAAATTTTAATTAAGGATTTCAGTAATTTGGGGACTCATTAGGAGGTGAGCGATACATCTATTGTGGGATTGGGTATTGCAACTCATTGCACATATCAGCATCTTGCCACTTAGGCATTATCAGGCCATCAATCAGTGCAAGCCAACAAGATGCTTCCTTGCCACATGCCACATGCCACACAACAGCAACAGCAACAGCAACAGCAACAGCAACAACAACGGCAACGGCAACAAAAAGCCATTAACTTAAAATGGGATAGAAGAAGAAGAAAAAATAGTTGTGAACTCATTGACTCAAATAAATAAGAGGCACGCGGTCGAGCTGCCACAGAGGAGAGGCAGAGCAGCAGAGCGGCATGGCGGCAGGGCGGCAGAGAGGGGCACGAGATCATCAGTAACAATAACAACAGCAACAGCTAGAGCAACAGTTGCCGTTGCTGCCACAACAAACAGCTACAATAATAGAGGAGCCGCGATTTGCAAATCTGTGCCATAAGCTGCCACAAGTGTCGGATGATGCTGGAGGACGATGCGAGTCTCTGTCAGCCATAAAAAAAAACACAAAAAAGAAAAAAAATCGGACAAACGATCGTTGGTGCTGTTGTAACCTGGGTACCTGTTGCAGTTGTTTGGCTGCAGTTGCAGTTAGCCTTCATCGCGTAACGGTACAATTTCTACAAGGGAATGTGCTTTCATTTTGAAGTGTTGCAGCCATTGGACTTGGACTTGGACTTGGACTTGCGGCTCATTCAAAAATCTAAACAAGCAGCAGAGAGGCGACCGCTACTGTTAGACAGCATGTTGCATGCAACAAGCAGCGGCAAGGCAGCAAGGCAGCAAGGCAGTAGGCAACAGGCAGCAGGCAGCTGGCAGTTAGTCACTTCACAAAGTCATTTTTGATTTGATCGATTTCGTGCAACACAGCCGCAGAAGCTCGGTAGAAGCCACATGACATGGTCTTGAACATGGCCAGAAACAGCCTTAGAAGTAGGACAGCCAAATGCCTGCCACACAAACCCTTCTCCCATTTGCAGCACACACACTCTCTCACATATGTGTGTGTCGTATGTTAATCGCCATCAGCAAACTGTTGCCGAGTGAAAGACGTAGTTGAACTTTCCATTCTCCATGTCAGTTAAGACTTATCTTAAGCTGCTGCTTAATTATTGTACGAGCCCTGGACTTGGACATATCCAACTGGCCAGCAGCAGCAATAGAAGCGACATCAACAATCCCCCATCGTTGTTGTTGCCGCCGCGAGCTTCATACGGCGACTGCGGCCAAGCGCAACTAGACGCGCTCACTTTTGTTTGTTTTGTTTGTGTTTTGTACTTTATGTACGGCATCTGGCTTGGCTTTCGTGTGGAACGCATGTGGAACGTCTAGCTTCGGGTTTTGGCGGCTTCGTGTCGGTGCGACTCGTGCTGGGGCGGAAGATCTCCACCCAGTTTCGGATGCAATTGGAATGCTGTTCAGCGTCGGCTGCGCAGTGACTGCGTATTTTCATTGAGTAAAAAAACGGTTGGCGCAGCTGTGCAGGATGCACGCGACTGCCTCATTTACCGTTTTGTTGTTTTGTCTGCCAGCGTCGCTGCCGCTAAACTTGTCTAGGCAGCCGAGCACTCGCAACGCGAAGTCAAACTCTAAGTCGTCGTCGTCGTCTTACTCGTGGTCGTCGTCGTCGTCTCGCAGCAGTTGCTCTATTCGTTTCTGCTGTGTTCATGTGCATGTGTGTGTGTGTGGATTTGTGGATCGCTCGATCTGTGGTGTGTGCTCTACATTAAGAAAGAAGTGTATTAGCTTCGATTTATTGCATCGTCTCTGGACTTCCTCAAAATGCTGAGCTCAGCTCGCTGAGCGTCGCTGCGCTGCGCTGCTCTGTGTTGTGCTCGGCTCTTCGGCTGCTCTGCTGTTAAGCTTAACTCTGCTGCTTGTGGAACTCATCGTCTCTGCTGCTCGTCTCGCGACTCGCGGCTCTTTTCGTATTCATTCAGAGCACCCATACATAGACAGAAGACGTCGCTGCTGCCCGTATAACTATTTTGCGTTTATTATTAGGAAATCGAAATCGCTTTGCACTCTGACGACGCTTCGACTCCGACTTCGACTCTGCCTCTGCTTCTGCTTCTGCTTCTGCTTCTGCCAGTGACTCTGACTGTGAAGCTGCGCGCTAGCCGCCTATCATCAGTCCGTGAGACGGTCTCAAAGCTATTGGTCGTGTTGTCGCTTGTCGGTCGCAACACCAGCGCCACATAACTATTACAACAACAACAATAACAACGAAAGCACACACAAGCAGCCCCACAGCAGACGATAACCCAGACGATCGACCAACTACGTAAGCCAACACTGAACGCAACGTAACGTAACGTAACGCGATGTWAGCGCGCGCGATTAATACTTACAAGATAACGGTACATACGACTAATATGGAAATGTAGCAATGCAGTGAATTGCAAGGGGCGTGGCTCAAGGATTATTCTCAGCCAGTGTTGATACAAATTCAGAAATAAGCAATAAAAATAATTTTAAATAAAAGAGTAACAAAATAAAATAAATAGTGCAAATGTATTTGAAAAATTGGTCAACTAAAGAGATGAAAAACGATTATTTTCTATGAATTTATTATGCAAAGAAATGTTACTATAGTAAATAAAAACTACTAATGTGAAATAAATACGAAACTTTTCCAACACTTAAACTCTAACTTAATCTACAAATCTGCAACTTTTACATTCCTAACTAGAGCAAAAACAAATGTGTTGTATAAAAGTTTTCGATTCCTAACTATCCCATTAAGCTGGCACAAATTATGACACAAAATAGAAAGAAAAAACTGCTATATAAAATAATATATCAAGCTTTGGACGCGCCCAGTAGCTGCATCGCATACGAATGTGAACTATATACACATATAAGTGAATATCGGTGCTAAATCAATGATAACTGCATACTTAAATGCAATTAATGCAAATTGTGACAGATGCAAATGCAAAGTGAGTTAAGCTGTGGAAAAGCTACAATAACAACAACAACAACAACAACAACTTGAAGCACATGTGTACAGGCTGATGATTATTATGGGCAGGCATTAAAGAGAGACAATCCATAATGAAATTATAAAAAATATAAGCCAACCCGATTAAGCGAAACTGGGAAGTGCTCGGTTAGGATTGGTGTCAACGAGAATAATACGACAATTACAGTTAATTAGTATAGTAATATTAGCTAACTAACGGAATTCATATATCAGCCAACTAAAGAAAGCCACAACAACAAAATCAAGTCTTTAGTCTGTACAAAGTGTAAAAAAGCATAAAATAAAAAAAAATAACGTAGAAAAACTTATATTAAAATAAAGTTTGAGAATAATAAATAAAATTAAAATATTAAGTTTTTAAACCCGTTTCTATAAATATAAATAATCGTTAATAACTGCCTATAGACATTTACGTCCTTCATAATTCTACTCTATGTGCTTTTGCTATAAAATATAGCTCAATCACCTGTTAACTACTACAAAACTATAAATACGTAAAATTCCTTCAATAAAAAACTCTAAAAAACTGTATCTGAGTCACAGCTATAAAAAAGTGTTAGAAAACGTTTCTCACACGCGCCGTCGGCTTTGCAGCTCGCAGATCTCCTTGTTGTTGCTGTTGCTCCCATGCAGAATGACAACGACAATCACAACAACAGCAGCGACAACAACAACAAGATCAACTCTATATAGCTATAGCCAATGCCAATGCAGGTTATCAACATCCGTAAAGCGCTGCAATCGCCAACGGTGTTCAAATGTTGATTTCTTCCTGCCGGCCAACGGATATCCGTGCGGATTTTATAGCTGCAGCACCAGCAGCAGCAGCAGCAGCAGTCACAGCAGCAACAGCAACAGCAACAAGAGCAACAACTGCAGCAGCAGCAGCAGCAACTAGACTACGTTGTACAATTAAACTCGAAGAGGCTAGCAAATTGATGCTGCAACAACAACTACAACCATATACAACTTCAAGCATGTAAGTAGCAAGCATTTGTATCTCTGGGATACATTCGAGTGCCTTGAAGCACCGCTCATATTTAATAAGCATAATCACAGGATCTACGATAAATCACAAACTTAATGTCAATGGCAAGAGCACAAGCATACATAGATAGCTATAGGATACAGTTACAGTTACTGCATCTCACAGATACGTAGGATACAGTTACAGTTAATATACATATAGATAGATACATATGAGTAGCTGGAAGTGCAGCTCTCAATGCTGATCTCAATCATCTATCAGGGGATCTAAGTACGGAAATATAAAGCTTCAAGTGTTTCCTTTCAAGTCCATTCATAGAAAATGTATCTCAAAGATACATTAGAGTACCTTGTAGTACAAGTCACATATAATAAGCAAAATTAGTGGATTTGCAGTAAATCTTAAACTTAATGTCAAGCACTCACAAATAAGCTATAAAATACACAAATACACATTTGCGCTTAATGCATCTCAAAGATACATTTAACTATCTGAAAGCTTAGCGCGCACTAAATCAACGCAATTACAGGATCTACGACAAATATTAAACTTAATGTCAAACACAAGCATTACACACACACACAGTTACACACACATTTACAGTTATGACTGTATCTACGTATCTGCAAGATTCAAGGCTTCAGCGTTCCGTTCGACTTTTGTGCATTGTAATTGATGAATGAATGAAATTGAAGTTCGGGCAATGACGCAGCCGTTTTCGACTTCAAACGGCCAAAACAGCGCGAATAGAGTTGTCCAACCGATGGATGGAGGGGGCGGCAGACGGGGGCATGGCTATGGCTGAATACAGACACAAATACACATATAGATACGTATACATACATTTACAGCAGGCACAGATACATTCGCGGCCACACAGATGGAGCTCAAGTTACTTTTTAATTTTTGCCAATCAAAAGAAATAATAAATTATATAATTTCGGGTTACGCCTAAATTCACGCACTTTTGCCAAAGGCACGAGCAACAGTTTTTATTATTACTATTATATTTAAA